ATATATGTATTCATGGTTATATTTGTATAAATCTAGAGGTAGCATTCTCAATTAAGCAAAACGCTGAGATGCTAATCAGGTATACGTATTCATATAGTATTGTTTACTTTTTTGAAGAAAAAAAAACGGCTAAGCAATATTTTAAAGTGAAGTAATGAATTATTGATATCAAGAAGTAATTTATTGATTATATATTGCTTCATTAACTTTTATAGCTTATTTTAATCCCTTATTTCCTTTTTTCATCATATCACTACATGCATTTATGATGGACAGATATTTGAAGGAAAAGGCAATATATTCAGTTGAATACATGTTCAAAGCATACAAGTGCACCATAAATAGCAACAAGATATTGAAAAGATGATCACAAGTATCTCTTGGTATAAAAAATAGCGGTAAAGGAAAAATTATAAATTTCATAGCATTATTAAAACAACGTTCGATACATTAGGTTTTAATAAAGTCTGTAAGTTTTCACAATTTACTTTGACACCTATAAATTTAATAATAAATACATAATATTTCCTTAAAATGATAAGGTTATAAGTTTATAATGATATCATTTCATTAATAAAATTAAAGTTAATGAAAATTTATAATGTACGGATATCGTAGTTTAAAATGACAACAACATACATAGGAATAAAAAGACGATGATAACTTTAATTGAAATGTTTGTCTTACCTTTGTACCCACATAATTATTTATAACATTTTTTCAATTTTTTTAATAATACAATTATGAACATTTATTTTTATTTTCCAATTTCAAAAAACAGAAAAAAGGTGTGGCAAAAAACTCGGACAAAGTTATTACGTCACAGAAGTTAACTAATTTCTTTTTAATTTGTGTGTTTATTTATTTCCGTAGACCATTTCAATTTTAAAATATATCTCTTAGTTTACGCTTAGATCTACTATACTAGAGTCTTTTAAGCAAGAAAAATCGTGCTAAGCAGTATCAGATCCTTAGTTTGCTTTGTTCACAATCGCTGTACAATGAAGTTCGGACTTTCTAAAGCAATCATTTTAACACGAATGAGACACATTAAAAGTAGAAGCACTTGTCAATTAGCACTTCAGCAACTGGCGTACTTCAAAAGGCGACCACTTTGAAACCCATTACATTTATTTATCAGTAAAAGTCCACTGTAATTATTAGTTGTTATATTTTGTTAATTTACTTATTTTTAATAAAGCTTTAATGAAAATTGTTTGCCCGGGTTTTTTTTTGCCTACACCTCTAATCAACTAGCTTTATATCTTTTTTACTTAATTATTATTGGAAATTACTTAACTTATTTGAAATTACTCAGTTCAATAAAAAAATATATAGACAACATATCATTTTATGGCTATTTTTCTTACATTTTTAGATATCTTCAATTAAAAAAAAATTTGCACATAAAAAGCTTGTTGCAATACAGAAAATAATTAACCTCTTAACTTAACAATTATTTTGCCAAAGATTGACAAATCCAAAGTAATCTCGGCCTTTTAAGTTAAGAGATTAAAACTTAGTTAAATGTTAAATTTAGTTAGAAAATAAACTTAGAAAATTTAACTTAGAAAAAGTAAATAGTTAAATTATTTATATTCCATAATCATTCTTCGTTTAAAAAAACGCTTTCATTTTTACAACGTACCTTTGCATCAATGAAAACATGAAAATATTACAGAATTGTCTCCGTTAATTACGTTGTCTTATATATGTACTAAATGAGGCGTCACAAACGTAGCTTAATTTGTGCAATAGCGTAAAGTATTTATTTATTCTAAAAAAATTGATGTCAGGACACTTAAACATTTCTGGTATATTTAATTCTTATCGTTTTGGCGAAGATACGATTCAAGAAAATAAATAAATGTCTCCAATATCAATTCAAGGAAAATAGATAGTTTCACGTTATAGAAATAAAATTGTGGATACAAGCACTCCTTTGACTCTTTAATGCCTTTTGTAAGACATTTAAAGGGAGTATAAAATAATACTGAAATACAAATAGAGTTTGTTTTGCTATCTTACATATATTTCTTGAAAAAATTATTTTTATATTAAACAAACGTATCTAATTTAAAGATAGAATTTTCTTTTTCTCAAGCGAAAAGAATTAATAATCAAATAATAAAAGCTAAATTAAAATATACATTGAGAAATTAATTACAATATTGTATCCTTTGAAAATTGTCTTGTTTTTCTAAATAAAATTTAGATAGAAAATGTCAACATTGTTTATTTCATTTAAATGCATCATATCATTTTTGAAACAAGTGCATTTATTATTTTCTATTCATAGTCTAAAAAACAGCTTTTAAAAATAAACAAGAAGATTAATAAAGCTAGAAATATTTAAACATATTAGATGAAAAGAAAAAAAAGTGATATCGTTAGAAATATTTGTTTACTTTCATTTAAAATAGTTAGATGTAATTTAAAGAGTTTGAGAAGAATATTTAATTACATACAAGTCTGTAAGATTATTCAAGAAGAATTAATAAATATTTAAATATATGGTAGCATATATTTCCTTGCTTAGTTATAATTAATATATTATCAGACTCTCATAACTAATACGCAGATAGTACTTGTCTAGATAAAAACATAAACTGTCTAAAACTTGTCTAAAGAAAACGGGAAAAAATTACCTTTTTTTTCTTAATCTTTGCAAAATGTGAAATTTTTTTACCTAAAAATAAATCATACAATTATTATTTAAGAAAAATTTAACTCTACAGTTGTTTATTAGAATTTAATTCTAAGTAATCACCAAAAATTACTTTGATTATTCTTTTATCGAATGTGCAATTATTCCTCTAAATCATAGTTTAATTAATGTTAAAATTTAGCAAGTGCCTAGAATAAAACTATAATATATTAGATGCAAATGAACTCTTAACTAAATTAATATCCATACTTTTTAATCATATAGTGACTTAAACATGTTTTGCTTATCAATTTTTATACAGCTATATTAGATATGACGTTGAGATATTTAAAAATAGTAAATGATTTTCATGCATATACTCATACTTTATTTGATGAAATTTTATACTATAGAATTGATGATATCCAGTTATTCCGCGATTAAATTATTCGCAAGGATCCGTGCGAGACACCACGCCGATATCTCTGATATTCAATTCATATCGAATAGTTTTTATCCATGAATTTATAATATATTCATTTATTTGAATGCAATAGTTACTTTATGTGCAATATTTAATACAAATTTTCGTTGTGTGTTTTATGCTTAGTGATGATATGAAAAAAGAAGTTTTTACAGAAAATTAGTAAATTAAATGAAATTATGAAGTACGTAAGCAAATAAAAAATTGATTAAAATAATATGGGGATAATTTAACATGGTGCGCGTTGTTTTCTCACAACCATAATCACATATCTTCTTCAAACTCGTTCCTGATTTATACAAGTTGGAGGGTTTAAAGTTTCGAATGCGATTCCGAGCACAAAGCACATCCGCCGGAAGCGGTTTATAGAAAATAGAATAATAATAATAATTATAATGCACCAGTCATATGTATACAACATTGATCATTTTTGTTTCACATCTAGACAGTGTACAAGACCAAAATGAAAAAAAAAGTTGTTGGAGTTATAAAAATAAACAACAGCCATAAAATCCAACAATTAACTGACATCACAAGGTTTCGACATTTATTACATTGGCCAACAGAAAGTCAATTGCTGAAGAGCTTTTTACACATTTCATTTTGTATCAACGCGTTCAAAAATGAAATGATTTACCTTGTCAAAATGCAACTCAAAGCAGCTTTTGTCATATAACATGACAAAGTATATAACTATACTTTTTTAAAAATGTTAATACGTTCATGTGTTAAAATTAGTTATCACAATGCCTGTTTTGCCCATATTCTTGCATGTCACTAAATATTAAAAAATACCATTAAATTAGACATCATTTTTGTAATTATAAAATATTATAATTTGCTTTAGCCAATGGAGAAGTTCGTCAACTTTAGTTAAAAGCAAAAAAATAACAGAAATAAAAATTTGAAATCCATTTCAAATTAGTATCCCAATTAATTTTTTTTCATCACTATGAAATGTATATTTCAATAAATTCAATCATATTACCACACATTTGTTTTACTAATTAATTAAAGGCATAGTTTAAATATAATTCGGGGATTTTTAAGATAATATTATGCAACTATATTATTATAAGTTAAGATTGGTAATTATTTATAAACCAAAGCTAGTAAACCTGAGTAACTAAATAACAATGATTTTTCTCTTTAAATGTTTTAATAAAATTTCATCTCAGTATTAAATGTTTTAACAATAAGAAAAATTTTCACTTTTGTAGTTGTGTTATTATGGAATCATTTACAGAATCCAATTCCGGTAATATGTCATTATTAAAGAACCTCACATATAATTCAACGTATCTACACACATTGTAACTTTATTTCAAGCAAAATCTTCAATTTTTGTAATTATGTTATTATGGAATCATTTACATAATCCAATTCTCTGTTAATATTGCATTGTGATAAAATCTTACATATAATTCAACGTATCTGCACACAATATAAATTATTTTACTTTCAAATCATTTCATGCATACTGATCATTTATCCATATAAACTGTATAATAATGAAACTGTTTATACTATCCAACAGCCTGTCAGTGTCAACTTCACTATTATGCAATATTTTATATATTCAGGTTATCTATCAACATAAAGTGTATTAATGTGGAAAAATTTATATAATCTGATTGTCTATCAACGTAAGCTTTTTCATTCTGTATGAAATGTGAGAGTTCGCCATTACGAATTGCGTTCGGATTTACACATAATACCTCAAAACTAAATTAAATATGCTTAAAACCTTCAGCAATTGACGGAAAGTTTGTTGACTAGCGTCCTCATATAATTATGACGGAAAATATCCATCAATTAAACATCTGAAGACTTTGAGTCTCTGAAGACGAAGGTTTTGGGTCTGTTGGGAAGGTCCTCAACGCTTCTGCTTCGAGCTTCTGATTTGGAGGACGAATGAAGGAAACTCCTTATCTGTGATTCTTCCATTGACAGCTTCTCTGATAAAACACTGATATTTGAGTCTGCTTTTGCTGTTTGCTCAGTAGACAGAACTTCTGGAAATGTTTTATAGTTTTTCAAGTCTAAGGATTTGAGTTCTATTTTCTCAGGGAACCGACCATCTTGGTCTTCTTTTACTTTCGACTGGAAGAGAAGAAAAATACATCATGTGTCTCACAATTATTAATTACAAAAACATTTCACACTGAGGTAAAAACTGTAGTCAAAACTACCAGAGTATGGCAAAATGTACCATTATTTCTGGTATTCAAATTGTATGGGATCATTGAAAATCATGGAGATTTTTTACCGATGAACTTTGCTAATGACCTCAGTGAAATTAACTATAAACTTTTGTTTTATAATGGAACAATTTTCCACTACCCGCTCTTATTTAGGACATACGGGTAAATGTTTATTAAAATCAAAAAAATCCAGAAAACAGTACAAACCATGAACATGGCGGGCGCAGAGCAGCAAAAACCATGCAAGGTGATAAAACATTAAAACAGCAATATATTAAAAATGTCAGTTAAAAGAACAATTTAAAAGATAAACATGCAAAATTTGCAAAAGAACAACATAGTATAACATATTAAAACAGTACTTTTAAAACCAATTAAATAGTACAAAAGTAATTACAATAAAATTGGAGCAAGTAGAAGTAGAAGAGTTGATCAAAGACATAGTAAAAGTTACAAAAATATACCATCAATAAAATTGAGACACCCAAGCTGGAACGAGCAGGTTCAGAGACCATTATGGACCGTGCCCCAATGCATCCTCTAGAGTTTGTTTAATAATCTTTTTTATGATATTTCCTGCAAGTCAGGTTAGCATAGCATTGATGTTGACTAATATTATTAAAGTGTTTGCCTGGAATTGAGAACAATTCATTAACAAGTGATCAATAGATTGATATTCACCACAGTAATTACATTCTGGATTGTTGTGGAATAATTTACATTGGTCTTCTCCAAACACTCCGTGGCCTGTTAAAAATTGATTGGAATAGAAGTTTGCTTGTAGTCTATTTATTTAATTTCGGATCTTTAAAAAATTTGAACGTCTGTCTCCCTTTCTCGGATCTCTGTCATTCCTGTGGGGAGAGTAGTTACAGACCATGTCAACCTTCATCTATGGATAATGTCGCAGTCACAAGTAGCAAGTCAACTGTTCAATGTCGATCATCCATCGAAGTAGGCGTTACTGCCGATGTAGGCGTGTCCAGATCAAAGTGGGCGCTTTTGCCAAGGTAGGCGTGTTCACATCACGTCCGAAGGTCACCAATGTGGGGAGCAGTGGCGTAGCGAGGGGTGGGCAAGGGGGGTCATCATGCCCCGGGCGCTACTCGCAAAGGGGCGCCAAATGGTCCGCAAAACAAAAAATTGTAGGATAATTTTTATTATAATTGATTTCTGGAAAATATATTTTAAATTTAGTGCCAGTGTAATATAATAAATGCTAATTCGTAAATAAAAAGGAACACTAATAGTCTAAATAAAAGTGTAATAATATATTCATAATGGAAATGGCACGTCTTTTCTACTGGCAGGACTGACTCGACCTGTGTCTGTCTGCACTTCCTTATAGCATCTACGCTGTGTGGTTACATAAATTATCTCCTCCTTTCTTGATTTGTCTGATGAAATAATATGTCATAATGAATATTTGCTGTGTACAAAGTACAAACATTCTTTCTTTCAGAACACTAATTATTTTTATTTCTATAAACGCTATGTAGCTTACGCTTGTTATTTTAAAACGATAACAACAACACTCTTATGTACTTATATGTACAGTCACTGAAAAAAATATCCCGAAAATAACAACTGAAGGATCGTCTATTTTTTAATATAGATACTTCTCAGGCACAGAACAAATACAGCGTTTTGTCGTTTCTAGGAAAG